CACACACACACACACACACACACACACATACACACACACACTCACACACACACACACACACTCACAAACACAGATACACACACTCACACACACACTCACAAACACACACACACACTCACAAACACACATACCCTCATGCACTCATGCACAAATGATTCATGTTATAACTGACAGAGAAATTAAGTAGAACAGACAGATTTTCACCCTCTACTGCGTATGATTCAATGTTTTGCTGGAGTGGACATACACACGACTAAAATCAAGTTCTATACAGTATTTCATGTTGTTTATTTTATATATTTAAAATTTAATGTATATTTTACATCTTTTATTTTTATGCTTTAATGCTAATCACTAATGAACATATATTTAACAACATTTTTAATACAAAGACATACACATATACCACAGATATATGACAAATTTAGCTTTCTAGCTCAATGAGTGTTGGTTGATTTGATTTGAAAAGAATAATTATATATATATTTAAAATAATGTTCATACACTGCTTCAGATGTGATACTGCTCAGTTTCACAAGCGCACTGCAGCACACACTAATGCAGCCTGACATGCTGATGACAGAACTCTCTTGTGTAACCGGGGCATGTGTGTCCTTGATGTGTTTTAAAGGCCAGTTTACAGGATTTCTTCCTATAATCACAACTTCAATATGATTTGTGCTTGATGACAGCCATAGCATTACATTGAAAATAAATTAAATTAAATTGCTCCAGTGTGTATGAATGTGCCACTTTTCCCTGTAGTTTATTTCAAACGCTCTTCTAGTGTGCCCGATGTATTTTTAATAATATGAATATTCAGTGTACTTTCTAAAACACTTTTATCTTAAAGACTGCTTGATGATCATAATAAAAGAATTAACACAATGTCATTTAAAATAATTTGAGATTTTTAGCATGTATAGCATGTTGTACATCACAGGACATGTAAACTTTACCAATGTACAATATATTGCTTAGTTGTGTGCTCTGATGTTACATAACATACATAGATCATTTCTGACAGATCAACCCTTCATATGCACGTTTACATAATCTCGTATACTCCATCATATGACATCTGTATCACGATTTCCTTCTTGTCATCTCATTTCTCAAGAGCTCCGAATCTCTTAATCCACTCTTTGTATCTGTATACAAACAGATTCTGTATATTCACATGGATGCTTATATAATAGAGCACACTGATAAGGATTTGTCTACATGACCTAATATGGAGTGATATAAATCGTCCTTTCATCATAATTTATCATATTTTTTATCTTAAATTATGCAATAGACTGTAAATAAAACCCTTTAAAAAGGTATAGTTTGACAATATAATATGTAAATATTGCTTGTTACTGGCTGTGTGTAAATTCTGTGTGATTATGTAATTTCTGTGTCACGAGCAGAAGCGCAATAATTGTATTAACATCAGACATTCACACAACTGACATTCACCCCCGCCCCCGTTTAACAAGGCGAATCAGGATGGATTAAAACACATACGTTTGATATGTTCACATAAATCTTTGGCCTAACTAAAGCTCAATGGGAATTGATGTTGCTTTATCCATAGAGCTGCAATAGTGTAAACAGCAGGAGGGGAGTCTCCCCTCAGTTTTTAGTCTTATCATTTTAAAAGTTATAATAGATACCAGAGACTGTATGAGGGAGCAGAGACAGACCACATATAGAAAAATGAATAGGCAAAATTGCACTGCTCAATAAGTTCAGTTGATTCAAGGGTTCACCTAAAACATAAAAGCGTTTCATGCTGCACACAATTAAAGATGTTTTTTTTTTTTTTTTTTGGTGGGCATTTGCAGTACTAATCAGAAACTCTGTGCCTCAACTACACAATCATTCTCCTCCCCATTTTTCCAATGATTTAACAAAGATTTGCACAGTACTGGAAAAATAAATCATGTAAAAATAACTGAAAAATATGGATAAGATAGTGTGACAAATAAGTTTGAAATCTTTAGTAGGCCATAAACTGTAAGCTGGCTACAATTTGGCGGCATTGTGTTGGACAATTAAAGGGATAATTCACTGCTAGAAAGATGAGCCTTTACTAAAATTTGGCTGTTTATCCAGTAGGAAGGCATTGTTATTTTTTTTATTGTTTTTTTACTACATGACTAGAGAAAATAGAGAAAAAGGGCTATGGCATTCCCTTTCATCCAAAAGGTAGGGATACTTCAGCACCCATAATGCACTAGGTTCAGGTAACATGGAGAAAGAGTACACATTGCTAATTTACATTTACTACTAATACAAAACTGGTTGAAAATCTACGAACTTGTCCTATAAAACAGAATGACTCTTTGTTTTGACTGGCAAAGAGCCAACTGCCTTTTTGTCAAAATTATTGGCTGCTGTTTTAGTCCAGACCAGGGATGGGCAACTGGTGGCCCGTATATACAGCCCGCAGTGTGTTTTAGTACGGCCCGCTGGATCATATTAGACTCGGATGATCAATTTTAAAACATTTGAAAAGCAAGTCACGTAAAGATTGCTTTCAGCCCCTTTAACATTAGCAAATAATAAATGAAAAACTGACCATGAAAACAGTATTTTCAAGTCAAGATGGTAAACAGATTATCTTTTTACCAAGTTCAAGGGGATACCCATATGTTTGGATTGTTTGGAAATCTGTATTTTATTTAAATCACCATCACACCACTGCTCACAAACAACGGGGACGCCAGAGTTGCACTTGCCTCAAATTTCAAAGGTAAAATTCATAGTCAACAAAAGCTTTTTGCCAAATGCATGACAGAAATGTTTGCACTGGACTATGTTCTTATTAGGGTTTCCGCGGGTCCTTAAAACGTCTTCAGTTAAATTGTTTACATTTAAGGCCATGCAAACTCTTAAATGGTACAAAAAGTCTAAATTATAAGAGGTCTTTAGGGACGGAAAGACAAGAATTGCTATATGGATTAATATGACGATTAAACTTCAAAAGATTAAAATTTCACTGAATAAAGTTGAGCGCTGCACTTCAGCTTTGTGCAAAACTTTTATTTTCGTTTGCAAAACTTTATTTTCGTTTGCAAAACTTTATTTTCTTTTGCAAAACTTATTATTTTGCATATATATGTGGCATTATTTTGACTCCATAGAAACCACTATATGCGCAGTTCCGTGAAACCTGCTGGCAGAGAACGAATTTGCTTTTTCAAAAAGCCCATCTGCTATTTTTGCTACATATTTTTAAATGTGAACCAGTGGATCGACAAAAAGCTAATGCATTATAAAAATCTAAACAATTAAGAAACTAAGATATATTTATATGTTATTTAATATAATAATTGATTAAATTAATAAAGATTTAAAGTATTAAGATAACTTATAGCTACTTTTGACTCATCCCTTTTCTTAAAAATAGTTTAAAGGCTGAAATGTGAAGTGCAGATCTTAAAAAGTTCTTTAAAAGTCTTAAATTTGACTTTAAAAATCATGCAGATACCAGGTTATTTTATGGTACCATTTTAACCTTTTTAACTGTCCTTTTAGTTTGTTTTGAGAATGTTCTGTAGGCTACTAATAATAAAAGGACCTCTGTATATTTGTTTGGTGTAAAAGGTGTGTGGACGTGGATTAGTAATCTGGCCCCTTGGTATAAAGGAGAAAAAATGCTGGCCCTCATCACTATCAAAGTTGCCCATCCCTGGTCCAGACCATGCATGTGCATGTGTTTGACCAGCCTGAACAATACATTTTTTTCTAGCCTATTATAATAATAATAGTTTTGGAGTTTTACGTCTTTCCCATTTCAGGTATCTGCATAATTAGAAAATAGCTGCCCTAGGGGCATTGCCAATATGGCTGCCAAGTACACTGACTTGTCATGAACGTAACTTTGTAGATACACAACAGTATGTGGATAATCTGGAGTGTAACCCTGATGTGTATTTGTGCTTCGTGTGCATCATGTGATGCTGATCTTCGGGTCACTCAAGAGGTTCTTTGTCCTCCTCTCTTTCAATGTTTTTCCGCTCCTCTCCTGAACCCGCTTCTTTCGCTTTCTTCTTCAGCTCCCTTTGGTACTTGGCATTAATTGCTGCATACGCACATCCGTAGACAGCTGCTGCCAACATCATCAAACACACAATTCCACAAACCACTCCTGTGATGACCACTGTGGCTATGGCACGTCTGTAGTTCACAGGCCGGGATCTCTGCTTGGCCTCACACTCAGGGAGTAATGCTTGTCCTGGGGGGCTGAAATCACTCCCAGATGGTGCTCTGGGGCTTGGATGGAGCTGCCCGCTGAGCATGCGATGCTTATTGTCCAGGTAGTGGATGTTGGCGAACAGGTAGCTGTAGCTGGTGATCATGCAGGAGTGGAAAAGCTCGTAGGGAATGTGCCGGAGTTCCCGCTCCAGCATGAGATGAGGCTGGATGCATGTGACGCTGTCGACCACTCCACCTAAGAACAAGAGAAAATTATGAAGCTGAAATGGCTAACAGATGGAGGTCATCTTCACTATATGGCTTTTCACATCGTTTATCATCGTTCTAAAGACTGCTTTTAACCCTGAGCAGAGGAACATTTCACACTTGTAATTTATAAGTGGTCTTAGTGCCACTTTTTTACCTGGGGAATGTAAAGTCTGAAATGCCAGTTTAAGAATACCCAGGATTAATTGTAAATACCCTCGGAAAATTATGAGCAGTGTACTGTAAAACGTGAAAGAAAGAATATCCTCAGTTTAGTTTACCCTGGGTTTAGAATGACGCAGGGCTAACAAGTGTACAAAGCCTTTATGTAAAGCTCAGGGCTGGTAACCAGAAAATAGCTTTTTTTATCTCTGCGTGGAGCAAGCCATGAACTGTCAAAACTGAGCAAAACAGTGTAGGTTGCTTTAGCAGAGTTGTTTGTGTCATAAGATTATATTGACGGTAGGTAAAAGTCATGGAAATAAATTCCACCATCCCAGTCATGAGGCAATAAACACTGATTGTGTGAATTTTTTTTTTGGCAGAATCTGTGCATTAAAAAATATATTAAGAATAAACATATGGAGCTCTGCTTATTCCATATATATATATTATTTTAATGACCAAAGATCAAAATGTTTGTATGTCATTAGTATTTTTCCCTTGTAAAGGGGGTTGAAAATGAACCATGTTCAGCAAAAAAAAATAAAAAAATAAATAAATAAAATAAACAGCGGGTCACCCCATGCTCCAGCAATTCAAATAAACTCACAGCAGCAGTTCAAAAGAGACATGCAAGACTGATGCAAAAACATGTTCCTTGATCTGCCAACTGGAGGGAAAATCCATGGAGCTCTAACAGGTGTGGCCCAAATCTGGAGTCTGCTCCCATTTGTCAGCTGCTTTAAAACTGTTTGTCAGCTGGTCAACCAATCCAACTGTGAGATACACGGTTTACTCATTCACACCTACCTAGAAAAGAAGGGCACTGGTAGAGGGCAAGACTGGACACTCATGCTAAACTTTTCTTTTTTTCCTGCTTTTGGTAATAATATATAATAATAACACTATAAATATACATATATTTCAGCAGAATTGTCATAATTATGAAATTTACTTACCTCAATTCTTCATTTGCAAGATACCTTTTTAGCTATGTATTATTTATTTATTGATTGATTCATTAATTCATTCATTCATTAAACACTTCATTGTGGATTCGACCATTTTGTTACCTTTGAAGGCAAATGTCTCCAACCATAGTTTGAGTCCTATCAGATGACAGTCACATCTCCAAGGATTGCCCTTCAGCTGCAGAACTTTAAGATTCCCAAGAGCCTCCAGGTGTATACGGTCCAGCTTAGTTAGCCGATTGTAATGGAGTGACAGATGGGTCAGAAAGTGGAAACTATCAGCAAGAGCTCCTGGTAGACCACCTATGGTGTTAAAGGACAAGTCCAATATGGTTAGATTTCTTATTGAAACCAGAAGGCGTCGATCCACTTCCCTAATAGAGTTATTGGCCAGGCTGAGGACCTTTAAGCTTCTAAGTCCCAAAAGGGCACTAGGGGAAAGCGTTGTGATTGAATTGTTTGCTAGGTCCAGAATTTGAAGTTGTGGTGTCTCTCGAAAGGACATGGAGCCCAGGCCTCGCAGACGGTTATTTTGAAGATACAGCTCCAGTGTGTCTTCATGAAGTTTACGTGGAATATCATATAATCCTCGTCCTCGGCAGTCCACCACTTTGGCATGAGTGTCACACGAGCACTCTTTGGGGCAAGAGGAGACTGTCTGGAATAATAACAGGCTGGATAATGCAAAGATCACACCTGGTGAAGAGATAGAAAAATGGAGTAAATTGCCATTGGATTCATTTGGCCTTGATTTCAGCCTTTTCTGCTTCTCGGACAAACAGTACATTAATTATGATGACACAATCATCAGACATGAACCAGTCACTTACAATTCAGATGAAAACACATAAAGTGACCCAACGGTGTCTGCTACTTGTTCTTTATATAGCTGGTAACCTTTGGTGTAATGTGTAGTCCCATTTACAGTACTAGTAATCCTGATTTGGTAATCTATTTAAAGTGAGATATATAGTACATTCAACTTAATCCACATACATATAGTACACTCATGTAAAGTATAATATACAACAAATCTTAACTGCTTTCATTGTTTTTATAATTGCAAAATGTATGATTATGAGAAACATATGAATCCATGTATATATTACTGTATATGACACCTTTTTTTAAATAGTTGACCAAATTTTGTTCATAAAATACAAGCTGAATATCTCTCCCCCATTCAAGTTTTATGAGAAATAAAAAGTTTAAAGGACACTTTAAATGTGTTTATTGTGGAGGACAATCTAACAGAAAAGGATACATTGTTCCAAAACCTTGCTACCAGTATCAAAATGGTGTTATCACCTGTCAGTAGCTGTAGGAAATTTTCATCCATTCAACCGTTAATATGCCTAAAGGAAACTAAAAGAGAAGTCTACAAATTTATACAAGGGATATTAGGCTGTGTGTCATCTCCATAATGTAAAACCTTGTGATGCTCAAAAATGGTATGAATAGGGAGCATGTGTGAATGAAATAAAATCGGACCCAGAATGGAGCCTTGTGGCACTCAGGTGATGGGAACTGTGACTAATAAGAACGTCTCCAGGTTACGTTGGATGGAGAATGGTCTCAACAACCTCGGTTGAGAGACCAGAAGCTATGAGTTGTGCCTCCTCAGAGGCCACACCCACAGCTTCTGGCGGGGACGCGCCCTCCGCCTGTGAGAGGAGAGCTCTCCTGACGGGAATCTCCCATGGAGTGCCGTCGAGTGGAGGAGAACCGAACTGGATTCTGTAGCCCCTCTCTACAGTGTGCTGGACCTACTGAGACACATTCGGCAGTAGGTTCCTCGCTGCAAAATAATCTACTAAGGGAATCAGTCTCTCAAGACTGACCTCTGGTGTAATCAGAGCGGCTAGCTGGATGCCCTGAAGCGGCGAACCAGCAGGGGACGGCCCTACTAACTGCTCTAGAGACCTCCGTGGAGGTCGCGAGCCTCTTAGCACCGTTATGTTTCCGGGCGGTAACTGAGAGAAGCGCTCGCCGGAGACCGCTGCGCCCTGGAACACCGGCAGGGTTGGCAG